CTCGCCCTGCTCTGCACATGCTCTGCATCTCTCTCTCTCTCTCTCTCTCTCATTGAGCTCACCTCGAACAACGAACTGTTACAATTATACACTTATTACAATTATACACTTATTTTCACACAGCTATGAGAAGCATTAAACATGGAACAAAGCATTAACACATGTTAGACTGCACCCCATAACCACAATCAAGCCTAGAAAAAACCCAGTGAACCACCCCTTTAAAAAAAAAGTACAATTAAGAATATTTTTATTTCATTAATATTATATTATCTGCAAGTACAGCTCATTAAAAATATACTTTTAAGACTGTAAGTAACCGTGCACATTCAGTACAATAAAGCGGACATCTTTTTGTCTTTTCAAAACCTTTTTCAACCCTCATTCCTAAATGTCAGTCATGATCAGTAAGGACACCTATTGTCATTTTTTTCCCCCAAAGTTATTAACAATACATTTTTATTTTGATATCGTGACTATTAACTAACTACTGTTTACAGTATCAAAGTGATGCAACTTTTCAAATGAGGCTTTTCTCTTTTCACTTGACTGTGATACGTTTTTGCCTAAATTTGAATTAATTCACCACAATCTGTACTTATGTTACTGCACAACTAAACTATTTCTTGTTTTTTTAAGCATCATATAAACATTTCGATATAATTCATAAGCACATTTTACTGAATCTTGCAGTGTTCATAGAAATCTCAGAATGATTTCTATGCTGTCATACTTGTTTGATCAAACAGCAGTAACCAAAAATCAGAGCTTAGAGAATGCAATGCAAAAGCTTCATAATGTTTTCCTGTGCATGCATTTGTCTTCTTGCTTGTTTTCATGAGAGAGATATTTAATAGGAACAGTGAAGTCAATGTGTTTGTTTTGATGGGGTTTTGTAGGTGGTTGTTGTGGTGAATAATGGTATCCATGAGTTCTCCACCTACGTGTCTCCTAGACAAGAAATCTGTGATGGAAACTGGCACAAAATCACAGGTAGAGACCTAAAACCCATACAAGTTTTTTACTGTTAGAACTAGTATGACGTGCAGGAATAATGCAGTGCTAATTGACATAACATTTATTACAGTATATAAACATTTCTGCCTTATTATGTGCTTGTATAAACCAATCATTAATTACCAATTGTAATTAGGAAAATATAGGAAAAATATTATAGAATAAAAATAATTGGTTATTGTCTAGCAGTGTATTTGATTTCTTAGCCAATTAAAACATATACGAAAAAGTAAAGCCTGTCAGTTAGACAAAAGTCAGGAAAAAAAGTTTTATTTATTTATGTATGTATGTATTTATTCTGAAATGATGGCTACACACATGTGTATATACAGTAGGACTCACTTGAACTTGTTATAGATAATTATGGCATGATGTTATGGAATCCTGTTAGGTCATTGACTAATTGGGCAGTGAGGCAGCAAAGGCCCTTCATCATGTGCAGTGCTGTCATTAAGCTTTGCTGTGTTTTGCAGTGATCAGAGATGGTAACGTGGTGCAGCTGGATGTGGATTCAGAGGTGAATCATGTTGTGGGGCCTGTGCGTGAAACAGCACAGAACAGCAGCTCTCCAGTGTTTATTGGAGGAGCCCCAGGTCAGTCATATCTATGTCTGTCTGTCTGTTGTCTATGTTATTGTCTGTGTTTGTCTGTCTGTCTGGATGACCTTAGAAACTAATTCAGAGTTTTTGCTCAGGCTTTTTCAAGCCAACATAAAATTTGTATTGGTGATGTACAGTAATTACATTTAGGCATTCTTAAAAATATAATTACAAGTTAAAAACATGTAAATACACAATAAGTGCAATGTATCAAATGATGCATTTAAATTTAAATTAATATAAAGTGGATCAATTTTGGCTCATCCAGTCAGACTTTAGAGCTGTAACTATCAAAACAAAAATTGTGGTTGTTTAACTGTAGATCGTTCTTGGCCAGTTCTTGACCGGCCTGTAAATCTGCTTGTATATCTGTCATTATGCTATATTAAAACCAGATATTGGATTCAGTCATTTTGTCAGCTTGTTTTCTTTCAGTTAGCACAGGTTTTTGATCATTGAGCTTATGCATCTC